CCCCAATGAAGCATGGAGGACTTTGAGACAAGCATAGGAAACCGTTGGCTTTCCTCGAAGCTGATGGTCCATAGTGCTATGCCCTTTCTTGATGCTTTTTGATATTTTGATGTGATTTGGGGCAATCCCTCCCAGCATGCTCATGTTCAGTCCAATCCCTTCCACTACCGGTCGACCAGTCAAACCTGGTCCTGAAAACTTCCAAACTGAGTCGTGTTTTTGGGTCATGATCACCTCAGGGCGTGTTCTTGTTTGGTGGATGCATGCTAATCGATGCTGATCCACCCCACCGACATCACTCCACCGAGTTGCACTGTTGCGAAAGGTCCGGTGTACCCCCAACGCGGAGGGCGAAGGACGCAGGGCAGCCTCGGGGGCAGCCTGGCAGGCCGCCACATTGAAGGACTCGGAGGATCCGCCTCCAACCTAATAGCGATGGTTGAAGAGCCCTGAAGAGCCCCATAGACTATCCCTATCCCATAGGTACCCCAGTATGGTCCGTTGAGGTCACTTAACCTTAACCCCGCTTGCTTCACCAGAATAATTACAGTATATACAAATGTCAAAGCATGTGTATGTTTTTTTGACGGGTAAGGGCCGGGTTTTTGTTCTTCGGTCTAGGATGGTCTAGGAGATGCAACATGCTTATGCTTATGGCAGGGGGTTGATATGGATTGATGCATCATCCGTCTACATCGACGTAGGCTTAGCACGGCTTGACCGACGGGAAGCTTCCCGTCTGCCGGAAGCGCCAAGCCCGTCGGCAAAACATGCACTTCCACGGTGCGCACCAGGCCCAAAACACCATCAAACCTAATGAAGTCACGGTGCTTTGAGCACCTAATTGGCGATGTTGGCAGGCTGGCCGGAGGGTGCCTCTTGCTGATTTTCCAAGTCAAACTTCACATGGTACTCCTGGCCTCAGCTAGTCCTAGAAAGGTCAAATGATGTCGAAAGTCTGGTGGAGACTCCATCGCAAGTCCTTGAAAAACCGAGACCGAGGGCCGTCTCTTCTGCAGGTCCACCCGGGTGCTCCTTCCGTCCTCGTTTCCACCTCTTCCCCGCAACGAGGACCGGGCTTCCGACTGGCTTCCCTCTGAAGCAGGGAGGCCCTGCACCGCGTCCTTCCCTGTGGCACGAACACGTGGGTGGCCTGCTCCTTCTCGCTCTTGTCACTCTTCTCACTCTCCGCATTCAAGACGTTGGATTCTGGAGGAAGAGCGGAGAAACTCACGCGCAAGTTCCTGTGAGGCGGCAAACAACAAAGGTCATTCATTGATTCCAGTCACTTCACTACAGCACAGGCAAAATGGAACTTCCGAGCAAACTTGAGTAAATAAACACGTGCAGGAATTCTTCCGTTCAGCATTGGAGGCTTTTGGAGACTCCGAGAAGCTTCAAAGGCATGGAATGGGCCTGCGAAACAACAACTGGTTTCCTTCACGGGGGCAATTTTCCTTTAGAGTGTTCTGCAAGTATGTCTGGGATGGTATCTACATGACAAAGGAACAGGTGGGCAAGCTTTAGAGGTCTCTAATTTGAAGGTCAGGTCGGTGGATACAAACACCATCTAATGTCTTCAAGCCGAAAAACATACCGTACAGAAAAGCAACTGCGACCTTTTCCTTGTATGTTCTGGTGCGTGAGGCAAGCCATTGTAGAGACGTGACCCAAGGCAATTCTTCAGGTTTGTTGTGCCAAATTGACGTCTGGTTCATCATTGAAAGCCTTTGGAGTGGGGCAACTTGCACTCCATTCATCGCGCCCCAGAAATCTGGGAAAGAAACAAACCACCCGAAAATTAAACACCTCAAATAAATGAAAACATATTAGGTAGCTGAACCTGAATGCAGGCCACCACGCCCTTGTTGGAGACGCCCTTGTTAGAGGCACATGACCCCCAAAAGAAAAAAGAACATCCTCCGGTTGTACAGGGCATCATATCCAGCCATCTCGGCTGAATCGAAAGTGGGATCTTGCTGTATTACGAGGGAGGATTACTATGTTACTATGGCACAATTAATCTTGAACAATGGAATTGTTTTTATCCCCAGAGTTGCTTTTGTTGTTATTGTGTTCCTCTCCCATCCATGCTATCCGGTATCACATCCTAACAATCAAAACACACATCAAAACAAACACCCCCACCACGACCCTCACCACCACCACCACCACCACCAACAACAACAACAACAAGAAGAACAAGAACAATAACAATAAGAAGAACAACACTCTTTGGATAAAACATGTTTCATGGTGTCTTTATGTCGTTTGGACGTTCCAGGTGCTTCCCTTTTAAAATTAAGTTGTATCAACAATGGTCCTGTCATATCAACAAGGGTCCTGTTGTTGCCCAAAAGCATTTCAAGGAGGTAGTCCATGCGCACCGTAGAATTGATTACTCTCTCTCTATATATATATATATACTCCACTCTCTCTCTCTCTCTATCTATCTATCTATCTATCTCTATATATATACGTACTATTCGCGTTGCTACCGGATAGTAAGGTTGACCCCCCATTTTATCCTAAAATTTGTAATCTAAAATGATGTTTGACACTTCAAAGGTTCCAAAAGGTGCAAAATGAAAGCAATTTGTATCTAAACTGG